GTGTGGTGGCTTAGAGACAATATCAGCATGGATCGTGACCTGATGGATTAAAGCTACAGACTTTGCACATTTCTTCCATACCCTAAATACAAACAATTTATGGGGGGGTGCCCGATTTTTAGGTCCGCCATCTTGAAATACGACGCCATCTTTGTTTTCTTTAGAGGAATTGGACTATTATTTGGAAATGGCCTAATATCACCCTAAAGGGCACATTTACGCCATTTTTTATATAACATGTTTTGTTCACAATTAAATTTGCTATAAAATGAGATAAAAACCACTTCGATAACTTAAATAGTCTTGAAGATATAAACAGTTAAAGTTGAAAATTTGATATATTTCTCTACGCTACATGTAGTTTTTGCTATATATCACCCAAACGGTCAACGGTACGTATCTGTTATTATGATATATTTTATTCGTAATTAAATTTGCTACAAAATGAGATGAAAATATCAAAAGTAACTTTAATAGTTTTGAAGATATAAACAGTTAAAGTCATACATTTTGTAAATTCCTGTATGCAATAGGTCCGTGTATCTTAAAAGTCCCCGCCCCTTTTTTTTCCTGCACGTATTGCGTTAGAAGACTGCAACTTCACACATCAATACTGGACCTAAAATAGTACTTTCTAAAGTACTTCTTGACTTTTTCCCCCCCAAGGAGGGTCGGCCTACGAGGAGTAAGTTTAAAATCTTAAATGAAAGCATAGGCCATGATGCATATCAAATTAAAGGGATTTAGTAGTAGAACGCGTTTCCACAAACTGCACTTTAAAAGGACAGGTGGGTTAAAAGTTATTCCATTTTATAGTTTTGCTTATTTATTTATTAATCAATGGTCAACACCATTTCATCTCATTGCATAACATATAACCATCGATGCATATAACAAACGTAACGGAACTTAACAACTAGGATCATACATAACCAACAATAATATTAACAAGCAAAACAATGATCAACAAGAATAAATGTATAACAAACTTAACAAGAATTGAATGAAACAAATTTAAATAAATCTGGAATTCCTTAAATTGATTGGTTTAAAGTGATAATATTTATAAATTCTATCAACATACATCAACATTTTAGTAAATATGAAAGCAAACAAGAAATGCAATAACAAACTGGATTATAGGACCACTATGTAATGCACCAAGGATTATGAAAAACAAGCAAGCAGCTTTTTCTTAAAAGTAATTAAACTTGAGAAGAATATGACGAGATTTTGAGGAATACTGTTTCCCAAACGATGTAGTCTGGGTAGCGTGCTGTTGTAGGCATATACTATAGAATGATATCCCCTTTCCAATAGGTCCTGGGATCAGGATGGTCTGGAGCGACGAAAATTTATTCTGCTCAGCAGCTCAGGAGAGTCAAGTTCTGCAATGACAATCTTCCTCAGGGTTTTCAGTGACATCATCGCCGAGTCGTACTATGGTTGGAGTTGACTGTCTTCCTTTGGTTCTGTTAAAGTCACAGCAGAAAGCCTTGATATATATAATTTACTCTGTTGATATAGTTTTTATAGCACGCCTGATAAATGATCTTGCACCGACTACGTACATTACAAAACTCTAATGTATACGTGTTCATTCGAGTACTGTTTGTATAGCTTATGTAGTATCTTTTTCAAAAAACTGGTTCATTCAGTTCAGGAGAAAACCAACAGGAAATACACTTCTCTTGGTGCTCATGAGGGGGGAACACATCCTCACGATCTCTGCAATATATTTACATCTATGTATATTTATATATATGTAAAGAATTTGCAGATCTATCTGCAATTTCTTGGTCAACATCACTAGCAAGGTAAGGTAATCTCTGAATAAGGTCAAAAATATTCTGGGAATTGCATCTTTTTAAGTCAGGGACCATTGTAACATTGACACGGCAATTTGTACAAGTAGTTTCAAGTTCTATCTCCAAAGGTGGATGATGTGATTCGCTTGGCAGTAGGGGGTCCAGTGCTCGATATACTTATGTATGCTCTACAGAAGATAATACAAGGTCCACAAGGGCACCATTCTCATTCACAATCAGAGGTTATGCTGCTGTAACTGAAAAAAGACTGCAGATCTCATAGACAACATTGACTGCCCGAGAGCAAGAAGAGGGTTCCATGTCGTGTCAGTTGCATGTTGCAGATTGAAGACCCCAGACAGCAAGACGTTTTTTAGTGGATTGTCAAGCATGATCTCCTCAAAAGTCGAACAGAATTCTAAGTACTGGATGACAGGACGATTCGGATGCAATTATACTCCCCCTAAAATAAGTGTCTATTTTTATTTTATTTTTATTTTTTATTCTACATACCAACGGACAACTCCATTTTTACATTCATACAACAAAACAAGATGGAAGCAATAATTCATAACAATAACGTAGCGTCTAAAGAGGTACAACAACGAAAACACACTTAGTAGAACAATTTCGGCCATCGACACTCCAAGGAGACAATAGACTGTTTACAACAACCACCACTATTTTTGGAACTTGATATTAGAGAGCGGTCAAACCTATATAATATATTATCTTGTATCCATCATAGCTTATGGAGATTTCATCCAAACCTTGACTGGCAGCCATTTATGACTGGGTCGTTCTTTTAAACTCCAGATTGCGGTAACGTGTTTTACTGATGATGATCTTTAATTTTGTGTGTATGTTCCGTTACGTTTGTTATATGCATCGATGGTTATATGTTATGCAATGAGATGGAATGGCGTTGACCGTTGATTAATGAATAAATAAGCAAAACTATAAAATGGAATAACTTTTAAACCACCTGTCCTTTTAAAGTGCAGTTTGTGGAAACGCGTTCTACTACTAAATCCCTTTAATTTGATATGCATCATGGCCTATGCTTTCATTTAAGATTTTAAACTTACTCCTCGTGGGCCGACCCTCCTTGGGAGGAAAAAGTCAAGAAGTACTTTAGAAAGTACTATTTTAGGTCCAGTATTAATGTGTGAAGTTGCAGTCTTCTAACGCAATACGTGCAGGAAAAACAAGGGGCGGGGACTTTTAATATACACGGACCTATTGCATACAGGAATTTATAAAATGTATGACTTAACTGTTTATATCTTCAAAATTATTAAAGTTACTTTTGATATTTTCATCTCATTTTGTAGCAAATTTAATTACGAATAAAATATATCATAATAACAGATACGTACCGTTGACCGTTTGGGTGATATATAGCAAAAACTACATGTAGCGTAGAGAAATATATCAAATTTTCAATTTTAACAGTTTATATCTTCAAAACTATTTAAGTTATCGAAGTGGTTTTTATCTCATTTTATAGCAAATTTAATTGTGAACAAAACATGTTATATAAAAAATGGCGTAAATGTGCCCTTTAGGGTGATATTAGGCCATTTCCAAATAATAGTCCAATTCCTCTAAAGAAAACAAAGATGGCGTCGTATTTCAAGATGGCGGACCTAAAAATCGGGCACCCCCCCATAAATTGTTTGTATTTAGGGTATGGAAGAAATGTGCAAAGTCTGTAGCTTTAATCCATCAGGTCACGATCATTTCGCTAAGCCACCACACTATAATCTGAAGGGGCCGGATATGAATCCTGCTGGTTGCTCTAACTTTTTTTGTCTAACATTTTTTTCATTATCACCAAGTTTTGTTGGTTTGGTAAGGTTATGACAGTTTAATTTTATAATTAAAACATTATAAAATTGAATTTGAGGCATTTATAATTTTATTTTATGAACATAACTATTTTTTTCGATTAGTTAACCTTCAATATAGTCAATCAGAAGCCTCCAAATGATACTGTAGGCAAAACTAATCCTGAAATAAAAATGGTGCGTTATCTACAGTAACGCCAAACACATGGTTTTTCCATATTATTGTTGACTACATGTAATAACATTGTTAAACCTGGCAGGTTCTCCCGTAATCATCAAATTAGTGGATTCACTTTGGCATCCACACTCCAAGCAACATTCACTGTCAATATAATTTTCATCCATCCACAGACAGACCTGACGGTGACGAGGAGTTGTGATAAATCGTAGTTAGTGTGAAGGATCAACAACTTCCTGTTTAAGTACTTGATACACGCGTGATTACCGTGTCATACATCATTAGCGTTAAAAATGGTCTTCTTTAAACCGGAGGAGATAGAACGAAAGGTTAGAGATTTTGAGAGGGGGAGGGGGGATTTGTCCAACTCCGTCACACCTTAAAGTATTACACCAGGGTTCGTATTTTAAGGCATTAGTGAACTATGAGTGATGAATGAATGAGGCGACAGCTTTACTGACAAATCAGCTGGTTATTTGGCCAGGATTATATAATACCCCCGCAGTAGCAAACCTACCATCTAAGCGAATTTCCATTTCAGCCTGAATTGCTGAATATTTTCGATAAAATCGATTTAAATAACATTAGGTTTAACGAGTACCTAGGTTTGCTGCTACAGGGAAACTAATAAAGTGTGTTTTTGGTAAAATTTTGTAAAATGAATAAAGTTGCCAAGTTTGATCAAAATATATCCATAAACAAGCAAACTACAACATTTTACAATTGGTAACGGAGACAATTCAAAAAATTGTAAATTTAAAATTCCCATGTTATTCTTATGGAGAATATTGTAAAATGTTGTTGTTTGCTTGTTCATGGATATATTTTGATAAAACTTGGAAAACTTATTTATTTTATAATAAGCTAGGAATATTTTACTAAACATTACATTTTATTAGTTTCCTTGTAGAAGCAAACCTAGGTACTCAATCTTATGTTATTTAAATAAATTTAATTAAAAATCAACTCAGACAAATGGAAATTCGCTTAGTATGCAGGTTTGCTGCTGCGGGGGTATTTTATTCCTATTTGACTTGTGGTAATACCGAACTTTCATGAGAAATACATAAAACAGCTGAACAACAACAACAACACAACACTGACATTTTACGTCCCCATCAAAAGCAACATTCGGAAACACTACGCGTGCATAATTTCTAGTCTATGGGTTTCTCAAGGTTGGATTTGACTTTAGACTCGCGTGAGGAGATAAGATGTAAAGTAAAATTTCAACATGTAATAAAGAAAACTCTTCCAAAAATTCACTTTTCCAAGGACGAGGCGGAGGCTCTGTTGATCGTTTACTACAAACTGACCAAGAGAAGACCCATGGACCGCAAATACTTCAGGGACGTCATGTTCAAGTTGTTTGACTATTCCAACGACGTGTTGATAGAGAGGATATACTCCGTCTTTGGAGATGCTGCGAATAAAACGGAGCTAACGATGGAGTCTTGGGTGCTCGGGCTGTCCGTCATCTGCCGCGGCACTCTCGAGGAGAAGATCAAATACTGCTTCACCGTCTACGACATGATGGGCGACGGAATGCTGAGGAAAGACTTCATGCTGATCGCGCTCAAGAATAACTTTCGTGACGACGAGAGCAAAGAACTCTTGTTGGACTTGATAGAAACTCTCGTGAAGAAAATGGACGTCGACATGGATGGAGTAATCAGTTACGAAGACTACAGAAATTCCGTGTTGAAGAACAACTTCCTGCTGGAGCCGTTTGGCTACTGTGTGCCTTCTAGAGCCGCGATATACACATTCCTGACCACCATGACTAGTCTGGTGACGACCATGCATTCAAACAAGACCAGTCGCAGCAACCTCGAACTGGTACCCTCTAAAACCAAGTTTACTAAAATGTAAAACACGAAGATGCGGAATTTCGTTTAGGCTACGTACAAAAGTTCAAAAACATCGGCGCTATGAGCTTCGTCACAATTGTTCTCTCCGTCCAGTGAAAATTGTTAAAATCCTCTACCTACTCTAAAAAATGCAAGCCTTTTTGCAATGACAAGAATTTTACTTTACCATTTCAACCACTAATCTTAGCTACCTAATTTATTATGTTTAGCAGATTAAGGTTATGATAGTCATCTTCTGATAATCAAAACCGTGCAATCCGAGTTCACTATAAAGTTGGTGGATGTGCCCTGCGATTGTAGAAAAATCATTTTTTGTTTACACTTATAGACTAATGTTGAATATGCCGAAGGAGCTAGGTTTGGTCTGGAAGATGGGGCGATAATCGGGTAAAACCTGCTTTTGACTAAGAGCATAAATTTTGTTAAAAGAATCTAGAAATAGCAGATTATACAGTACCGGCATTGCTACCTGTCTCGTTTACAAGTACCATACAATTGTCTGACTACGTAGGCTAGTTAAAATTTGAAAATGTGACTTCATCGCAAACAAATTTCGATATCCCAACCACTCCAAAGGTATTGTGACAGCTTCTTACACAAACCATTAAAATCCACGTAAAATTATTCTTGAAGAGCTTGCGGCCACGAGTGAAGTGTTTTTGTGTCTCGGGAGCTATTTACCTATTTGGTTATTCTTCCCGCTTCTCCCCGCCTACGCTGTCAATCTAACCTAATCAGCTGCTTCCATGTGCGACCACTTCACTCTCTCACTCGCTCTCCTCTTTCTCTGTCTTCCTCCCCTGCCAAACTGTCACGGGCTAATCAAATCTGTCGCATGCCACGTTTGATTGACCCCCCCGGATATCATAATCTTGATCTTGCAGCGTTGTGTGGGCATTTGTGACTGATTTGCAGCCATAGACGATCTTTCTTGAGTCGGTAGGTTTTTAAAAAACTGGCCATGCAACAAAGATTTCTTATGCAGGGTGTGCTCACGCAATTTTAAGGAATAGGTGAAGGGACTTAATGATAATAATAATAAAAAAAAAAAAACAGATAATTTGAAGAGTGGCTCTGTTTTGCTGATTAGGCATACTACTATTCAAACTCCAGAGACCATTTTAGGTGTTTAGAAGAAAACATCCCATTTTATTGTAAAAATTCGTAGCCAGTGAATCAAAATGATTGTAGTTACACAGAGCGCTGATTAAATTGCCGGTTTTCTCAAATACACCATGCTTTAAAAACGCAAATGATAACTTATTGTGAACTATCGCATCTTTTAATATGTCGTATTCAACCATCAAAGTATCAATAAAGGAATAGATTTATAATTTCGACAGCAGCGCTTTTTAAGAGTGATGGTTGGATAAAAAATATTTATTTGAGTCAAAAATTGGCTATAGCTTTATATACGAAGATTGGATTTTTTATTTCAATATCCATAGTCAACCATTTTATGCGTTATTATTTTTTATGTTAATACCTCTGTTGCAACAAAACCAGAGGCGTCAAACAATAGGCTATTTAAATTAATTTATTGAATATTTAATAATTTTTGTCTTAATAAATACCACTTACAAATTAACGCTCAATATCTAATATCTCAATATCTCTAATTGGCTAATTAAAAACAAACCATTTACAGTAGAGCAATAAGTCATCGCGTCATAGTGATAACAATAAAGTTGACTATGGTACGACGTTTAAGGTACATTTTTAAGTTCGAATACTACTTCGACTTTGGTACTTTGATAAAAATACTCATATGATAATGTGAGATCTATAATGAATTTTATTACTAGGTTAATTTCCATAAAAATTGCCTGTACAACGTCCAGCGCTCATCAACACTTCATTGTCATATATTTTCAATTTTAATCTTCATGGAGCCAACTATTTTTGATAAATTAATATTATATAGTAAACACAACAATTTTTTCCCTAAAAAGCAACTATAGTCAGACAGCGGAATGGATCGTGAAATCATTCAAACATATTTAAATAAGTTAACGCACCTTTTTTCAAATTTCATCAAAATCTGAGAAGACAGTATCTAAAGGAGTTGTCGTACACACATTATTTATTAATTACCCTATGCCTTTTTGCAAAATCTATTATAGACTATTAAGTCTGGAGGAATTACCACAAATTCAGGAAACTGTCTTTAGCCGGCAAAATAATGTTTAACTGTGATGTTTTTTTATTGGTTTACGTATATGACCGGCGTTTTATGATTCTATGATTGTAAAGTCCGTGAGACAGGCGAAGGACTCTAAGGGATTACAGTCCTCCTTAAAAATTATCTAATATATACAAATTAGTTTTTTATAAAACTAATTCCCCCAGCTTTTATTGCATGTACCAGTTCAACTAGGGGTTTGCCAGCAGTTGACAGTTAGTCGGTGTACATTGTACAATACTGTACAATCGTCAGTTCATCTGCTTGGGGCTACAAAGCCTTTATTGAGGGCGTACACAACCATTGTACCATTGTACGTAACAATGGTCCCTCATGGTTGTTGCTTAATCTAGACGTTTCCGATCCAGCGTCCATCGATGTTTTTGATTACCAATTAGCTCAATCGTTATTTTTAAATTACAATTCCGACTGACGGAAATTAAAAGTGGGCACGAGAGGGTGCGGTGAAGTAGGCCTAGTGATGCAGATGGTCCATTATATGCAGATCATCGTAATATTAATGGGTCACTTACTGTGTATGCCAGAGAGAACGTAGATAACTCTTAAGTAATGGTTGATAATTATAACCTTTAACACAATTTTGTCACAAAGATTTTCTAGACGAGATAAAAAATATACATTTTATTTTGTTAGTGTCATCATACCATCTCCTAACCACGAGATAAAGCTTCATTTTGATTACTATGAAGACTTCCTTCATTTTTATGGGGTAAAAATAGGGTTTTCCCATTTTTGACCCTTAAAACACAAAATTTCACAATTTCTTTCCAGCCCTTTTTGTAGAGCTTAAAAAACTAATAATTTAGTATTTTGAAGCGTTATTATGCGCCTAATGGTTACGTAGAAAATTTCAAAAAACTGTAAATTTACAATTCCCATGTTATTCTTATGGATAACAAGTAAACTGTTGTAGTTTGCTTGTTAATGAGCATATTTTGATCAAATTTGGAAAATGCATTCATTTTATACTAAACTATTAACATTTTACAAAAAAAACAACTTTTTACCCTCCCTGTTGCAGCAAACCTAAGTACGTGTTAAATTAATGTTATTTAAATAGGGAATAAATGTGATATATTTAGAGAGGCATTTTAGTGTAAATCCAATCAGGCAAATGGAAATTCGCTTAGTCTGCAGGTTTGCTGCGGTGGGGGTATTTACTTGCATAATTGTAGTTTCCGTCCGTAGTCTAGGCAGGAATTGGACAGGTCAATAGGTTAGGTATAATAATAATAAAACAATTTTAGTTGTGTGATTTTATCAAGTGAAATAAAACACAATAGCTAGTTTTGAATCATCTATACTATTATATAAAAATCTAATGGTGTCTGTCTGTATGTGTATTACTAATAGGTACAAAAACTACTGAACCAACTGGGCTTAAATTATACAAAAGTATAGCTACCATACCAAGGACCATTATAGGACTATTCACATTTCGATACTGACCGTAGGCTTTGTATTGCCCCTTTGGCTTTAAAAGTTACGAGGTGAACAATTTAAAAGTAAACATTGATTGGTCTCCATGGCTGTGATGAGAACACTAACAATGTTTGTTAACATTTGCTTTGACATTTAAATGTAAACAAGAAGAACTGCTAAACTGCATATTTCACAATTTCAGACAGCTGATACAAAGAAATTAAATATAATATTTTCCATAACTATGAGGTAGCCTACGTTTATTTTAATCTAACCTTTTATCACGGATTATTTATTCATTATATAAAAATCTAATGGTGTCTGTCTGTATGTGTATTACTAATAGGTACAAAAACTACTGAACCAACTGGGCTTAAATTATACAAAAGTATAGCTACCATACCAAGGACCATTATAGGACTATTCACATTTCGATACTGACCGTAGGCTTTGTATTGCCCCTTTGGCTTTAAAAGTTACGAGGTGAACAATTTAAAAGTAAACATTGATTGGTCTCCATGGCTGTGATGAGAACACTAACAATGTTTGTTAACATTTGCTTTGACATTTAAATGTAAACAAGAAGAACTGCTAAACTGCATATTTCACAATTTCAGACAGCTGATACAAAGAAATTAAATATAATATTTTCCATAACTATGAGGTAGCCTACGTTTATTTTAATCTAACCTTTTATCACGGATTATTTATTCATTATATAAAAATCTAATGGTGTCTGTCTGTATGTGTATTACTAATAGGTACAAAAACTACTGAACCAACTGGGCTTAAATTATACAAAAGTATAGCTACCATACCAAGGACCATTATAGGACTATTCACATTTCGATACTGACCGTAGGCTTTGTATTGCCCCTTTGGCTTTAAAAGTTACGAGGTGAACAATTTAAAAGTAAACATTGATTGGTCTCCATGGCTGTGATGAGAACACTAACAATGTTTGTTAACATTTGCTTTGACATTTAAATGTAAACAAGAAGAACTGCTAAACTGCATATTTCACAATTTCAGACAGCTGATACAAAGAAATTAAATATAATATTTTCCATAACTATGAGGTAGCCTACGTTTATTTTAATCTAACCTTTTATCACGGATTTTTTATTCTAAAACTATGTCAATGATTATAGAAAAAAAATCTATAACCGTTGCTGTATCAACTCCGGCTCTGCTTTGGATTTTTTAAAGCGTCTAAGTTATGAAAATAATGTTATTGATATGTTTTCATGGAAACAGTATTAAAATTGTAGTATATATGTTTCATATGAATTTGGAGGCTACTTTAAATAAATTCTAACTGCTTAACATGTGTTAGATTAACTTAACATAACTTGCACATCACATTGTTTTTTATA